GTACAGGCTGTTAAAAATATGTGTCAAGGCAGGCAACCCATTCATGCACCAGCTGATGTATTCCATTCGCACACAACTCTCTGGGCTGCTGCTGGAACCACTGCATCACTGTAACCCTAACTTCTTTATCCAATCCTTGAGAGCACTGAAACTCAGTCACAATGACAGATCCAGACCATTTGGAGTGCAGAGTCCCAATACTTGTGAGCATGATAGGATACTTTCTGTAGATGGCAGTAAGGTCTTGGAGCAATCCACAAAACTGACTCTTGTGTATTGATGGATGACAAACCTTGGCACCAGGCAGATTCTGTGCCTGGAATACTGGCATTTAACCATGCCACACTGTCCCTCTGCTCTAATGTGCTGGTTATGTTGAACTTCTTGTGGTTAAATGCTGTGCATGGGTTTCATTTGGACAACCCTCATACTATGGAAAAATAGTTATTCACAAAAAAAAGCTAATTATTAGTTTTAAATATCTTCATTGTAGCTTACAAAGCTCTTATGGCACTGAAATGCAAGAACTGTAAGAATTAAGCACTGAATATACTAACCCTCTGTTTGCACCAAAATAATTACCTTAATTTAAGTAAACAGGAATAGCATCCAAAGGGTTAATCTACCTAAGAAACTAGGAAAATACAACATTTGTGACTGTAATAAAATAAGGTCACAGTGTAAAATCTGCAATTCTGAAACATATCAGAATTAATTATGGCTACATAATTATACCATGATTATAACTGTTATACAGCAGCTAAAAATTATGCTTTAATTAATTCATTGCATAAGATGAACAAATTTCTTGACACACATGTATACTGCTGATCAAATGTGACTTTTGGCACTTTCAGGCCTGTGACAATATTACATCCTCAAATTTGTTAGAAGCATTAACAAGAATTTTATAGTTCATAAAGTAATATTTACTTCTTCCCTATTAGGATAACAAAGGGTCACAGAATTTTGTAGTCATTATATTTTCTTGGCACCTACAGCCAATTTTCCAGCTGTCACTATTTACAAAAACCTTTAAAAGTGCAGGATGATCATGTCTTCATAATACAATACGTAGTGTAATACATGACAGGCTTTCAATGAAAATAAAAGAATTGTAAACCATTATTAACGGGTAGAGTATTTTATGGACAAGAATGAATTTTAATGCAAGCCATTCCAGCATAATATCTGTTAGAAAAAAAATTCTTTTCAGACAGCTTTCTGCACAGTAAAGGAATCCCTCTTTGATGAAAATAAATAAAAGCACAGTATTATATGTAAATATGTTATAAACTATATGGCACCATAAAAAATTGTCCAAAACAGTGGCTTCTTATTGCGATAAATTCATGTCTGTGATTTAAGAATTATATAGGTCTCGTGTAGGAGAATCATGGTATCTTTACCAGGAATTCACTCTCTAGGACTCATCAAAGTTGGAATTAATTTATTTTCCGAGGAGACAGAATGTAATACATTCTGTTCTGTGATGGATCTTAGTTTACTGAAGAAATGAAACAAACATTTAGAAGGGTCTGAGTTTGAAACAAATACTAAAGTTGAAGATAAAATAACAGAAACAATGTCAGATACATTTTGCATTTTAATTTTTTTAATAACCCTTTTTTCATCTACATGTTTGTCAGAGTTTACTTTACGTGAAATATAATTTTAGAAATGAAAACAATGCTGTGTGTGTGACTCAGAAGAGGACCAGATATGAACCTAACCGAAGAGAATTAGCAGCTAAGATTTAACAACAGACATCTCCCTAAGTTAGTAATAATTTATTTGAAATACATTTACAATGTACCAGAAATAAAGATTCTAAAAATCTTACTAAAATTTATGGGCACACAAGACTACTCAGAAGCTCTGGCATGAGGTTGTAAAATAGCTTATCATCCCTGCCATATACTACACTATCAAGCAGGCCTGAAAGTATCAAATGCCTCAAGCATGAGATCACTAGCTATATACAATACTGCATTTTACACCAAGGGTGTAGCAATATTACAAATACAAACATATAAATCAACAGTCATACCACTAGTTAAGGATACAAAACAGAAGACCTAGAATGAAGACAAACTAATTATGCTTCATGATATGCAACATTCAGAACTTCTGGCATGGTTAAAATATGTAAATTGGCTGACAGTATAATCATCTGAACATCAACATCATGAGCTGTTCACATACAATCCACATAATGAAGATTGCTGCAAAAATCTCAAATCTTACAACCCACACAATGTTCATGCAATAAAAAAATATTGCATTATAAATGTAAGAATACTTCACAAATAATTAAGTTACCAATTCCCCAGACAGTACCACAAACTTGAAAACCAACAGTTTTTCATTGTTGATGCTACTTAAACAGTTCATATAGAGAATATACTGCTTACTTTTATCATCATCTTGTTCAAGTAGTACTCTTTTCATCCTGCTGATACAAATGGAAATTCAGCAAAAACAAATTATGAGTTTTAAATGTTTAAGAAGGAACTATTTTTATAAACAGCATCTGTCACAAAACAGTTGGTCATAGGCTTTAAGAAGGAAATATTACTGTCTCTATAGTTGAAAACATGATTAAAATGTAATTCATCACTTATTTACTACTCAGTCCAAGTAGTATGATATTAAAGTGGCACTTCAGTCATCTGTGTACACGCCAGTTTGCTCCTTACATATTATATTTAGAACATATTGCACTCATTCACAAAAATGGTTGAGCAACTACAGGGCATTATGTCAACAAATATGCATGTTAAACATTGATGGAAATTAATGTTTTCTCATTTGTAAATGTTTTAAGAGAAAAATATAACTTTAAGATGTCTACAATGCTACTTTTAGAGTATGTACATACCTAAGTTTACTCGCAACTTAAAAACATTATTTCAAGTTGAAAAACAAGTTTCAGTTGGATCTTTGTAACACAAACATTTTATGTTACAAGTAAAATTCCCTTATTTGAACATTTTCATTTCTAACACAAGGTTAATAAATGGCAATTCTGGTTTCTGATACCATGAGTACCTCTGTAAGGCAGTATTCCACTTATTCTTGATAACAGTGTGATAATGACCCAGAAGGGAGCCTGCACCTTACACAATATGTATGCAAAGAACATATCAAATTCACAAAATACTGACTGTCAGAAATGAGAAATGGGTAAAGCATACAGAAAAACTGTGCCGGATCTGACTAGTGTGGAAAACAGCATTTAGGCCACAACCCAGTGTCTTGCTTACTGACACATAGTAACATGCTGAAGTATTAGACATGCAAAATATTCAGACAGGGTAATGAAGAACCATGACATATTACAAACAGGATATACAGACATGTAACCAGAAATCCTTTTCACGCATGACATATAAACTGTACTTTCCATTAAGGTTTATGCTGCATACAGAAAGAAGTTATTTGCTGCTGTCCACATGCCAAGTACAATTTCAACATATCCAAAGAACTGCAAAAAAAAAAACACTTCCAATGATCTGGCAGAGAACACTAACTTTGGTAATTAATTGTTTAATGAATATGACAATGATAAAGCGGTTCTAGTTGTAAGTGAAATCATCTTCTGACACATCTGGCGATAAACTGAACAATGACAATAATAAACTGATATGACCAACACAAACAGCATTAAGTGTTAATCAACTCGACCTCTAATCAATCTCACAGTGGCTTAAAAATACAGACACAGATAATGATTGGAAGAGATCACTTGCAAGATCTAGACACAAATGATAATTAACATTAAAATGAATGTGATAAAACTGGATGTGAGGCTGCAGACTAGTTTCAACTGGTAGAGGACAGGGTCCAACAATTGGTTATTATAAACATAGTAATGGGATTCTGGGTTCCATAAAAGGATAAAGCGGGGGTTCTTAACATGTCTAACAATTTATGAGGAAATATTCTGCTCTGTGAAGTTAGTTAATGCAAACAATGAAAAAATGACAGAATAAATAAAGATCCATAACCTGGAACATTAAATGTGAAAATAATTCCACATGACCACTAAAAGTTATTCTGAAATTAATTTTAACTGAAGAGGACTTCATACATTTTATTGCACTGTTCAGCTTACAATCTTTTACTAATATCATAGCCAATGTCAGTCATGTTTGATGAGTACACCATCCCTGTAATGTGCGGAGGAGAAAGAAAGTTCTGATGGTAGTGACTGGTAGTAAGAAATGAAAATGAGTCAACAAGTGAGTCTGGCACTTGAGACATGGAAGCACAGGTTAGGAAAAGATGTCAACAACGATGCAGAGCTTCACTCACCCAAGAGGAAATAAAGTGGGGAAAGTAGCATAACACAAAAGACAAGCAGCAAAAGACTGGCTGATAAGCAGAGACAATGCGGTATGCAAAGACACATAGGTTAGACACTGTTACTGAGCATTACTGTGGTTCTGTAAATTTCATAGCTGAGATACCCTCTGATGGCAGGTTCAACAACTGTTGCCACAAGAAAAGACTTAACTTGATTAGGCGGGCTACCCTCAAGAGCTACAAAAATTGTTCACAAACACATCACAAAAATGTTAATGATAACATCAAATCTTATAGCAGTTCATTTGTGTTTGATTAAATGGGAGTGAAAATCAATTAACTGTCTGCACATGGTCCCTATTGTTTTGTGTGCATGGACAGACATGAGAAAATACCCAGTCGACGGAATGGAACATCAGTATGTGACTGACTTTGAAGAAGCTATAGGATGTTTGACAAAAGAAGCCAACAGAGGAAGCTGTGCTGAAAAAATTAACATGACTGATTAAGTGGTAAGGCAACATAATGTCTTTGCTACACTGTAAAAAAATTGGGTGAGGTAAAGACAGAACACAATGAGAAATCTATTTGTGAAAATCAGCCAATTCCTAGAGCAAATGTGTTTGTAAGACATCAATACAATGACCAAAGAATGTATAATGTACCTGATATGAATACAATTGTGATGATTTTTAATAATGATGATGAACAGTCTCATTTTGAGCACAATATTAAAGTCAATATGCCTGAATATACTTATATCCAATTTGAACCCAATGACATATTCCATCCTGTCCATATGGTAAACCTGGTTTGCAACCTAACATGGAAGCTGAAGGATTTGGTGCAGTGGAACTACATTCCAGTTCAAGAAATATCTTTGCAGAGTGATGAAATATTTTCACTGCAATTCATCGTGCTGGAAAAGTAGTGCAACAGTACACTGTAGATTCCTGTTTTCAACACTAACTACCATCTGTTGATGTAGTCTCTGCAAGCATTTTCAAGAACAGGAACTTGATAATGCACCTTTATTATGTCCAGTTGCAGACAGCAGTTCTTGAATTCACTTGGTGCAAAAAGGGACAATTGTCAAATTCATCACTTCAAAGAAAAGCCTTAATTACACACTTTACAGCCATTTGTTTATTTCTATCATGAATATTCCTAATTATGGATTGGTAGAAATGATTGTGCAGGTCAAAGTGGCCACGTGGTCTGGAGCATGGACCTTGACCTTTCAGACAGTGAGACCGTGAGTTTGAATCCCACTCAAGGCATGGATGTTTGTCTGCATCTTTCTTTTAATGTGCTGTTCTGTATAGGAATTCTACCAAATATCTTAACAGTGAGGAGGGAGAGCTGTAGGATAATTAGTTTTGACAATATCACACCAGATTATCAACTGACAGTCAAGCAGAAACTCAGGAAAAACATGTTCATATATGACAAAATACCCATGTCTTATGATGAATGTAAGAGTCAACATTAACATCTGACCAGTACGATGATGATGACGACGATATATCTGCCTCCTGTTTCAAATGCAACAATCACTTTGAATTTTAAAATAGCAGTTCATAAACCATTAGTTTCACATCATATGCTGCATCATTCTCAACACAATGCAGGAATGTCTTCTGCTTTAAATTCAAGATTTAAGATAGGAAATTCTGTTCAACCAATTACACTGGTACTGAATTTTCTAATTACAAATATTTCAGATACACAAATACAACCAGTACTTTATATTAATGATACTGAAGTATCCAAGGTAAAAGGCATGATTTGTTCAAGCACAAAAAATGTACAGTATGTATTAATACAAAACTCACAAAATGAAGGCTTCAGACATATAATGTTATGGGCCAAATGAGCAAAACGGTTGACCAAATTTCTTCTCACTTGTACCTACAACAGCTTAGTCAATTCACATCCATGTGTAAAAACAAACTACTAAAACCAAAACAGCACAAATCCCAGGTGCCAGGTCACCATGACACCTAACATTTTCATGACAGTACCTAGAATTTTCTGCATATTATTATGATGCTTTTATATCTTGCATATTATTATGCAATATTTTCAAATTTGTGCCAAAAAGTTCCAATTCTATCCTGTAGGTAGTAGCATCTTCAGCAATGGTAAATAAATTTGTGTAAATGTTATTTCCATTTCTGAAATACAGTGTGCCCCACAACAGGATGTCCATAGCTTAACTACGTGCTCTTGGGATCATTTTGAGTTGAAAAGTTCAAATAAACATGGGTCCAATATGCAACAGTTTGTAAAGAAAAGTAGAAAGAAATTTTTATTGCAATTGTAACTTTTACATTATTTCCACTCAATTTTAGGTTAAGTTGTTGTTGTTGTTACACTCTAAATTCCATTATTTTCATGACTCTAAATGGCCACCCTGATTGTTCATGCACAGTTGAGCCCTTCATGTAATTCAAGGAACAGCCCTCTTCAGATAGTCACAATAATTTTTTGTGTTAGCACCAGAGTTCATTATTCGATTCAGCAACTCAGCCCTGCTTTTTACTTGGTGGCATACACCATGGATTTCATGTGACCCCAGAGAAAGTAGTCCTAAGGTTAAAGATCTGGTGATCTTGCTGGCTAAGCAACTGGACCACCTTGGCCAATCCAACGGTCTGGGAACTGTTGATTCAGAAATGCAGTCACCTGCCTACCAAAATGAGCAGGCGCGCCATCTTGCTGCAGCCACATATCTTGCCTGGTTGGGAGAGGAACATCTTCCAACATCAATGACAGCTCTTCCTGTAGGAACACGAGTAGCACCGAGATGTCAAGCAGTCTTCGAGCACTGACTACCGTCTTGCCTATGTGCACAGTTTAGTGAACTAGTTTCTCAAACACAGCCAATGCATAGTGAGTGCAGAGCATTCTCTTGACAAACCGTTGCAGATCGGACCCATGTTTACTTGAACTTTTTGACTCAAAATGATCTGAAGAGCACGTAGTTAAGCTATGGACATCCCGTTGTGGGACACGCTGTATATATTCCAGGTCCTAGGTTTCAGTGACAGCTCTTAAATTTATAGAAAAGTCACGCAGGTCATCATGTGCACAGGCATAAATAGAAGATAAGATACATACATAAAATATATGCATAATAATAGCACCCTTTGTAGCATATGAATATATATGAGGGTTGTTCTAATGAAACCCATTCAAGGTGTTGCTAGTGCAGGTGATCACAATGGCTGTGAGCATGACACATCAGCAGTTGACAAGAAGTTGTGCAGCAGAACATGCATGTTAGAGCAAATAGTAATGATGGTTAAATATTGTCATTCCAAGTGCAAGAATGACATGAATAGACCACTGATACTGGTGTTCAACGACCCTGAAAAAACCACCACAGGAAAGCATCCTGTCATGCTCACGAGGGGTGTCACTGTGATGCATGACAATACCCCTCCCCATGTGGCCCACACTATCCAGGGCACACTGCACTCCATGCACTAAAAGGCACTGAACAATGTCCTATACAGTGTGAACCTGTCACCATGTGACTCCCATGAGTTTGGCCCCTAAAGAAAGCACTAAAGGGCCATATATGTAATTGGGAAAGAGCATGAAGACCACAGCTATGCAGTAGTCCCAGCAGCAGACTAGGGAGTTCTTTGCAGTGAGGAACCATCACCTGGTATGTCAATGTGCTGTCGCCCTCAGCAACCAAGGGGTCTATTTTGAATAATCTCTAATGCCCAGAACAATCACTCAACAGGCTGCATCTGAACATGCCTTGTAATACAGTTTTCACTGAAATATGTGTGCAAACAAATCTGGGGTTACCATACATCTAGTTTACACATTTGCACCCCAAGATCATGTTATAAGAAATACGACTTGTAACTGAAAACTTACTGCTCTGTTTCAGTAAAATCATCCCTTTTCTGGCATGTCTGGAGTAGCATATATATTTTATGATTTATTTTATTGTAAGCTTACCAGTACCTTTAACAAACAAAATAAAAATTGGTCTTCTTGGAGTTTTCTGAAAACAAGTATTGTTAGGGTATAAGGAAGTAAAAACAGAGAAAATGCCACTGATCCAAATTCTTAATTTCATGATTCTCTACTTGAATCTGATGAAACATTACCACACCAACAACAAAAATCCAGGAACTCAGGTGTCTCATTTAGCTTGGACACTGTCAACATCAGCATATTTCTTCATTGAGACTGTTGCCACACAAAACTCATCATGTGGTTCTATTTTATTTTAAACTGACCTTGTTATTAAGACAGTTTCAGTTGTCTACATGTGTTTCCTCTGCATCTCGTTCTACACGAAAATCATAATCATACTGAAACAGATGAATAGATGCAATTAGTATTCTCCAATAATCAGATTATACTATTAAAAAGTCATTTCAATTTTTTAAATTTGGTTAACTAATTTCATGACACTTAATTGAAGATTTCTGATGTAATATTCAGAACTGTTTTGCTTATAATGAAGTTATAATTGCTTACTTCTCTGTCCAATTCATATTTCGTCTTAGACTTAATGACAGGAAACTGATGCTGTAACATAAAATATAAAAGCACTTAAAATATAATTTCTGCTCATAAAATAACAATATATCATTGAAATAAAACGCATTTTACATAAAATAACATAAGTTGAGAAATAGTTTCATATACTTACTGTGTATCCATTTGAAAGATTTTGGAAACATGGATTCAACATAAAAGGTACTCCATCAAGACCTAAAATAAAATTCAGGAATGAAGGCACAGATGTGAGGTTACTTAAAACTACACCACAATAAAGGAAATTATACACAGTAATAAAAGAACCAACAAATAAATGAAGGTAATTCCTGGAATTACATCACTTTCATGGTGGTAGAAATGTGGAAGAGGTAAAATGACTTCAAGACTATAAAATAAGGTACATTAAACTAAAGCAGAAAAGTATGCCATGAATAACCGGCTGTCACAGCAGGCCTATGTGAGAAGTGTCCTGTGTCAGCTATGGGGATACAGTTTGTATACTCTATATAAATCCAAGCTAAGTGGATCATTCCTTATATGAGTAGTGAACCCCCCCGAGGAGGAAATTGCCAGATTACGTTACTGAGGCCACTATCGTCCCAGGCCGGGAGGTGGTACGGCTTGGGGAGGGTAAAGCGGTGAAAAGTTAAAAGAAAACCAAATGAAACTACGAGGCGCGTCCACAAAGTAAGTTTCCCACTCGTCCCACAGCTAGCAAACCTTATATTGCGCGAATCGACTGTGCGTACGTGATAGAGCAATGACGTAGCATAGCGCATGCACTAACGGCACTTCCCGCGTTCTCACAGTAGCATCGTTGCAGCTGTTGAAGATGGAGGTTCTTATTCCAGCTCCCGCCGACTGTGAAGTGCGGTCAGTGATAACGCTAGGCCGCACACGGCTCGACGGACAGCAAGTCTCCTGCAGGAGTTCAGCTGGGAGGTGTTTAATCATCCACCCTACAGCCCGGACCTCGCTCCCAGTGATTTCCATCTTTTCCTACACCTCAAGAAATTCCTGTCCGGTCAGCGTCAGCGTTTTGAGAATGACAGAGAGGCGGAGATGGCTGTCACACAGTGGTTCCAATCCCAGGCGGCAGACTTCTACGACACAGGTATTAAAAGTTGGTCCCACGGTATGACAAATGTCTCAATTCCGGTGGCGAATATGTTGAAAAATAGCTAGACACTTGCTGTATCTGTTGCAATAAATATTTCCATGAAATTGTGCTTTGTTTCTGTAAACGGCCCCAGGGAAACTTACTTTAAGGACGAGCCTCGTAGTCTCGAAGCCGCCGACTCCAAAGAACTTAGAGAGGGGAGATAAGCCACTTCGAGCCATGAGGCATGGCTCAGTAGCAGTGATTTTCATAATTTGTAGTCTTCATTTAGTACCATTAGATTGATTAACCAAGAAGAATGAGTGAGAGAAGGACATGTAATGCATATAAGGACAGACTAAGTGCATACAGATATATGCAAGAAGGCACAGTGATTTTAAAATGGATCTTGCAGAAACAGATTGGACAGAATAAAATGTGTAAGATTGTTTTCTTGGGCTTATTCCATCATTTAAATTACAAATAAATCACAACATTCAGGTGAAAAGACAGACGCAGAAACCAGCTTCAAAAACATAGTGATTCTGTTTATAATTTAGATGGACAAAGGCCAAGAAAAAACTTTACTGATTATGAATTCCTCAGACTTCATCTAGAATAAAATAGCTAAGATAAAATTCAGACCTGGGAATTTTTTGTGATAGTAATAAAACTTTGGACAAGGTATCTCCTGAAATGATGTATAGCACTCATTTCTATAAAATCAAGTAACAAAACACACACGATATACATATATACATGTGCTGTGATTAAATAAGAGATGTTCAAATAGATGGATGAGTCTAATGCTGGGTGACTTTAAAATCATACAATGTGCTAGTTATTATTTTGTTTAATATTTGTAGAACTATTGCTACGTTGGCCATTACAAACTTACCACTATAAGCTGCTATTGTGTTGTATGTTCCAACAGTACCACCAGGAGGTCTTGGAGCTGGTCGTGATGGTCGGAGAGAGACCAACAGTTCATATTCATGTTGAGAGTCCCCTCCTGCTACACCATTTGTGGAGGCCTTGTTCACAACTGATGAAACTGAGTAAGGCTGTGGACGTTGAGAATGTGGCAGGTAGGTAGGAGCTGGACTCAAGCTAAAAAATTCATCTCAAATTGTTGAATGCAAATTTTCATAGCCGAAGTCTCCATACGTGCTCAACCTTCGACTTATGATTCATTACTCTTAGACCCTGGCCACACGACCGTACAAAGTACGTCTGTTGCAACGGACATAGGTAAGGACACCACACGAGCGCAGTGTGATGCGTCAGTTGCCCCAATGGAGTCAGAAGAAGCTGTTGCGTTCTGTGGTCTTGCCCCTTCATAATTCTATGATGGACGTCACAATGTGCGTTACAACGGACGTACTTTGTACGGTCGTGTGGCCCCAGCCTTAAGCAGGATTTGAGGTTTTTATGGTGGTGAGTCCAAAGATGGCTGTCTTCTGGGTTCTAGTGTCATGCAGTCTGGTAGAACTTTACCAATGTTTCAGAGGTCCTTGCTGCCTCGTTCATTAGAACAGCAAGTAAGCTGCTCCCGTGGAAATGACGGTAAATATCTACCAGACTATACAGCGCTGCAACCCAGAAGATTATCCTAACTTGGAGCTACTGCAGTGCTAGCCAAAACTATGGATAATTTCAAACAATGAAAGTGAAAGCTTGGATATATGTGTATATATGGGCCAACATATTATAAATACAATACAAAACTCAGCAAATTATAACAAGGACTTTATTGTAATGGATAAAGTGAATTTTCAACCAACCTCATCTCTGTAGCGCTAACATTCATTTCAAAAACAATAATAATTTGTATTTATAATACAGCACTCAAATTTATGTCAGTAATCCATGCATACTGATTTGTACAACAGAACACATACATTCAAATTTATGTATATGATACATAATTACATGCAGCACAGTTCTAGAGGAGCTGATAGCTACTCAGCTGGTCAAAAAATTCCCCCTACCTTTTATAGAACCTAGAGGTTTACTACTATGTTCATACTAGCCTCCCACTGGATCAGCATACTGACTGACTATGGGCTGGACAATTGGGATTCAATCCCAGCAGGGGAAAAGGCATTTCTTCTAGCATCTGCATCCAGACTGGCTCTGGGACCCACCCAGCCTTCTGTCTAATGGGAAAAGGGGGTCCTTTCCCCGGAGGTAAAGCGTGGCTGGGGTGTGAAACTCACCACTCATTCCCATACAGTCTACAAGGATAGCAGGATAGCTTTACTTTCTTTACCACAATCAACCCCTCTAACAGAATGGACATAAAGTACATTTCACTGCCATCTTCTGTCAATCAAGACATGATCAATTTGATCATGTGTTTTTCCATCATAAGTCCAAGTGTATTTATGAATTTTGCAATGTAGGAACTTTGACAACTATATTTTTTGATGTGGTAAAATTTACTACTCTAACCCCATTATTATTACTAGTTTCATGTAAATTCCCAACTGTCAGTTTGAAATATTTTCCCTTCCCACCTAGGCAATAAAATCTAATAAAATTGTAAAACTGGTAAAATACATGCTCTAGATCCTTATAAAAGCCGTCCTTTACATTATCACACTTATACTTGGATGGCACATGCACATTCAGAACAATAATATCACAATGGCAGCCTACTAGCATTGAATATGACATCTAATCATTGACAAACTCTACCTTCTTAAATGTTGATATGATACCCACATGTACAAGAGAGCTTGTTCCTAGGTGAAGATCAGCAATCCCATTTCCAAAGAAGAATGTATTGTATGAACATCCAATTTAGAGCCGCCCTTGTCACTCCAACTTCCCACACTGTCACTAAATTTAACTTTTATTTTGCTAATTATCTCAATACTGTTTTCAAAGATCCTGATATATACAGACTCCTAATATTCAAAGTTACAAATCTCATGTCAATTTTTAATCGCTTATGTCACTCTAGAGAATCCATCCAAGTGTGTGGCCCTGTGCAATATTTTGTAACATGCTGACGTTTTACAGGTTGGGGAGGTGTTAGTCACCAGCCCAACACCCAAAGCTGGAGGATCATCCCTTGTCATCAGTCTGCAACTGCTTACTCAATATTTTGTAGCTACCCTCCATATCTGGAGGTCTTCTCCTCCATCCACAACCTGATAACATGCCATGCTGTAGTGGCAAGGGAACCACTTTTAAGATGGTCTGATTCCTATATCACATGCTGCAGGTTATGTGCACCCATGACTAGATCATAACTCTATCTTTCCCACATTTTTAAATGTTTAGTGCTCAGAAAGTATGTATTGATGAGAATAGTATTAAATACATCAAATTTTCACACAAGAAATAATGTAATTCTAACACATCAATGTGATCCTGAAACAATACTATAAAATACACAAAACATGTTAAATGTATGTACAAATATGTATTTACAGACATTAAAATATTCCACAAGATTACCGACAGACTGATTCTTGGTTTATCAAATGTCAACTTCATTGTACGTAATATACTGTCAAGCAGAAGTATAAACATGAATAAATTTAAAAGGATGTGGGCAGTTGTGCCCAATTTTGGATATTACCCCAGAAAGTACTTTCAAGGTTCTCGGAAAAATGATGAAAATATCAGGAGTGAGCATCACAGCCAAGAACTAAACATCAGACTTCAGGAGTACTAATACATATCATGGAATTACATACACTATCCTGACAAAAAGTACAACACAGGTACAGTTACTAAAGTGTTGAGGCAAGCTCTACAGTCCACTGAATGCATGTGCTTCAGCTGAAACACCAACGAGTTTGTTCAACTAATCTAACCACACAATGAAATAATGAAGTTGTGCTGGTGCAGTAGTGATTTGCATACAAAACATAAATCAGTACTAAAATATATTTAAAAATATATTAAGTTAAAACAGTATTATGGTGGCCATTCATTCAACATACTGATTTGACAAACTATTAAAAAAAGTATCCCTTCATTTCATTAGTGTCTCAAATTAAAGCATACATACAGCATACTTCAAAGGTTACAAAGATGCCTATAAAAGTATTAGAAAAAAATATGCAGTGGGTTAACTTTTATTTAGACTGTAACCTATAAATGTTACTACTCTAAGAGAAAGAGCAGTAGTCAGAAGCTAACAACTTCTATAGGTGCATTGTGATACGATAAAAAAAAAACAAGCCAAGTACAAAAAGCAAGGTTTGTAACATATTCCTACCAATCAAGTTTATTCCTTGAATAAGTAGTCTTGTGCATCCACTTCAACTCAATGGCCACCCTAGCCGGAAGCCATTGGAACAGCACTTTTGGAAAGATGGAAAGTCTATTTCTATTTGAACCATCATTGTGCTATGCTGAAAATAAACTCGAACTAACTCTCATATTACTAACTACATCTTAAGTTTCATGCACAATTTCATGACTGATGAGGTGCAACCATACCTATAAAGCAGCTGGGTGGGATGTGTAGCACTGGGTTTATTTACAGATGCTAAAGTCGGTCCACATTTATAGCACACGGCCATTCCATTAATTTCTCTGAAATAAAGTAATGAAATATAACAATGATTAAAGCAAACAGAAATTAACAATCAATTCTGAAGGGTTCTGACAATGCTGTAATACATTCTGCTGGGTTTTTAGACCTTGTCCATCGTCTGATGTTAGAAAATACACGTTTTGAGGACTAGACCCAGTCCTCAAAACAATGCAAATAAAACTTAACACTGTTGCTGACAGTTTATACTGCATCTTCTAAGATGGAACACTGCATACTGTAGAATACTTCCTCATTTCCATCATATTACAGATGTTAAATATATTTGGAAAAGTATGTTTATCTAATCCTGAAATTCAAATTTATAAACGTGAGATTTGTTGTTGTTGTTGTTGTGGTGGTGGCAGCGGTAGTAGCAGTGGTTGTCTTGGTGGTGATCTAAACTTTGGTGCCATGTACACTCATAGGTAAATGTGAATGTTTGAGAGAAACATTCTGTCTCCATCTTCACAACTCTAGAAACTTTTCAACTTTACTTTTTTTTTCTCTCTCTCTCTCCCCCCCTCACACGCACACACATACATATCAACAGGCACACTTAAATAAGTTATAAAGTTTTTCATGTGAAAGAACAATGGCTTCCTATATTCATTCTTGTAGAAACCACTTATTTTTCTTATTCAAAAATAGAAAAGAAAAACCCCCCAGAAATGTTAAAACATTCCTTGAGTAATTAAAAATACCTCCCACAAATATAAAATAGCTGCATAGCCAAAATATGGTAACATGGTAATATGGTATGAAAGGCCTTCAAAAAGTGTTTCCATGAAACAAAATTGATGCTGAAGATTGCTGTCTTCTGGGTTGTTGCACTGTGTAGTCTGTTTGATGTCTAACCGTATTTGTGAATTTGTCCTGTGTTTAGAATAGGATGTATTAAGTTGTCTGCATTTTTTTGTTCTTCAATAAACTATCAACCACACAAATCAAAAGTTGATGTCTTCCATTATATCACAGCCCATCCAGATTTTCTTGATGTAAGAGAACTGTTGTTTTTAAAGCATAATTCTATACTGTGCCAGTCCAGGTTCATGTTTTGATTCCTGAACGGGCTGAACCTTGAGATGAAGGGTAAACCAGGCTTTGGCATATTAATCTGGTTTATATAAATGAAGGAGGTGTGATTAGATGATATTTGGTATGCCTGACTTCATCCAAATTTAAGTGATTTTATTAATTTTGGCATTGTTAAATGTATTACATTGGAAGAGAGTGGCGACACTCTGACGTGGAAAGTCTCTCTTCCCGACAATCCGCCTAACAGGAACGAGACTTTAACAAAGTTTTTGCACTCGTAAAGGTTGTTTACAAAAGGAAAACCTAAGCCCTTCCAGATGTGGAATAATCCGACAACCATTGCTTCACTGCGACGGGAACCGATAAAATTCGAATGTGACTTTTCGGCGCGTTTCCGACATCATGGGGTGACTGTTTGGGGGCGAATCGGATCGTTGTATTAAATTTAAAATATGAGAACAGTTACGTTGCAGGGGTATTTATAGTGGGATTGCGTTGGTGCGGGCTCTCTAAAACATTTTGGTTCTTCAAGTCAAGCAGACAGTTCTGCTTGTGCCTTAAATTTTGAAGTACAACTACAACAGCCGAATCATCATGCTGCCTTCCGATATGAGTAATTGATTGTACAACAGCATGTCTCAAGGCGTAATAAAGGGTGACATCTCCAAGGTAACTTCGGTGTGGTCTGCAGTTGCTCAACCCCAGAGATTTCACGTCCTTGGCGCAAATGCTGCTCCAACCACCACAGTCCCCGTACATTCTCCAAGATTCCGAGACCCTTGCTCTCCGACAAATCCTGCACCAATTATCCCTTTATATCCTTCCGCATATCCAAATTTATACCTCAAGCTGTAACCGCACGCAAACCGGGAACGCTACTGGGTTTGATCCTGTGGCAACCAAAGTAAGAAGAAGAGTCGTGTGCGGAAGGGCGGTTGCAATACCGACTGTGAGTGTTGCAATTGCTGCACTACTGCTACTTCCACCACCACTACAATACAGTGGACCATCAATTCCCATCATTAATTAATCCCTTAAAAAGCACATTAGACTCTGTAAGATTTGAGGTTTTCACAGTGGTGAGTATGAAGATTTCTGTCTTCACATTAGACTCATTTTTGGGGAAAATAAACACCAATAAATACTTGTCTTAAGATTGTAAAAAATCCTCTTACCCTTCTCATTATGTACCTAAACTTATTGTCCAACTCTGAAACAAAACAAATATGAATATAAACATGCAATTACCCTGCTAAAGAAAATCCATTTGGAGCCTTCTTCAACCTTCCCAAAACAATAATATCTGTTATGGCACTGGCAGCCTGATTACGTCTTGCCAGTCTGTAGCATAGTTGCCGTTTGCGCCATGCTTTCTGATCTAGAAGCAAACATCAACAAAGAATGCATCATTACATAACAACTTCTAAATTGTGGCATATTTTTTGAGAAAGAAAATTTAGAAAACCATATATATCATGAATGTATCTTTCCTGCAGTGTACCGACTTTTGCTATCCCAGGATCAAGTGCTACTACATTTATGTAGAAGTCATCAGTCATTGAAAACCAGAGTATGTGATTGTTGCTGGGTTGCATTTTAAATGGTACATCCTGCATTTCCTTCCTAAAATTTGAGGTTCTCACAGTGGAAGATAACGTTGTTCTTATAGAATGAGACACCACACACACACACACCAATGTTTTGGAAAAACATACTGTCATTTTCAATCATGAAGATAAAGAGAGTAAATTTTTCTGAAATTTTGTTATCTACCTACAAATCCTCACAGAATCATGCCCAGAACAAGTCTGTCATGCTTTTTTTTTCTAGGTGTGGCTTGCATATTTGTTTTTGTATATGCCAACAAATATTAAAACCACAAAGGTCAACAAATATTTTAAACGCCATTATGGGTGATAAAACAAGTATTTAAATCACAACAGGCCAACCACTCACTGTTTGTCAAGTCCACTCTCTGAGGGTTTACTAGAAGACTTGGATGTGGACACAAGCATTAAGCATCGCAAACTAAATGACTACAAATGACATTACTCCTTCAAGGTAAGAGGCCATGTTTTCCAACCATCTAAGACAACAGGCAAAATTATTGTTTTGTATATCTTGATCTTCAGTGTTTTGGATAGCAAACAGGAAGATAACACTTACAATTATTCATTATCAGGACCTTTTCCCATCATCTGTTCTTTAAAAGCACAACGTTTCGGAGGTTGGTTCTGTCTCCGTTTTCAGGTGAGATGTACCTACTCTGTTGGGTCCTCTCACCTGAAGGCGGAGACAGAAACAGCCTCTGAAACATCGTGGTTTTAAAGAAAAGACGATGGAAATAGTCCTGACAAAGAATAATTTTAAGAGTAAACTACCGTCGTCAAAACCCTTTAGAAATGAGGATGATAACAGCTTCTGAACTGAATAAAAACAAGTGTTTTCTGAATGTATTCTACTATTGATTTCATGATGGACATCATTTCTATTTGTTGTTGTTGTTCCTAGATACTTAAAATTGGACCATTTTTAAATTATTTTACTTATAATTATGTTCCACCATTGTTGCTTATGTTGATCTCATATTATGCTCATGTATTTAGTTTTGTCAAACACCATCAACTCCTGTCTCAAGTCATATAGCATTGTTAATCATTCTTATGAGGTTAAGCGATAACGGTGTGTACCATTAGTCTTCTGTTATAATGAGGAAAGACTGTTACCAGTGTCAGCAGTACGCGTGATAAGTGCATATCCATCAGGTGGCACTTCCTTCTCATTAATGACAGCTACAGACTCCACAATATAATCTGTTGTACCCTCAGTCTTTGATAGGCAGATATAACGTGTCATCTTCTTTACAAAGAAGGAAGCTTCTCGCCACAGATCTGCATCCGAATCTTGATCAAGCGTTCGGGAAACCTATGAAGGAAACAAATGTTTATTTAAACTGTGTCATACTCTGGCATTTTATATAAGTTATTAAACAAAGCAGTCTACATATACACATCTACATATCACAAAATTTTAAGTACAGATTTGAGTTAGTTCTTGTAAAAAATTCTATTTAATAGAAGTTTTAGGTTATCTCACAATTCATACTTCCATCAAGTATAAAAACATAAATAGAAACAACAGTACAGACAATACTATTTGAAATAATTGTGTCCTTCATTGTAAGGTTTAACACTTTGAACCATATAAAGTATTACATTCAGTCCTTTCTGATATGTTCAAGCACTCTCTGATTAGGTTGGCAGTTCATGAGTAGTGAGTCACCACCAACAAGGTTAACACCAAACAAGCTAAATGGAGATTCCACCCACTTTCACAAAACTGTTTCAATAAAACCACTTTATTTACTGTAACATTACAGTAGCTGCTTACAGAAAGTGATATTCTCAACATTTAAAAACACTTCAAAGTGAGTGACACATATTGAACATCACATTATGTTACAGACACTGGGCATTGCCTTATGTAACTTCTATAAAAATATTCTGGATTTTGATCTGCAATGGCTCCAAAATCTGTGAATTATTTCCATAAATAACACACTTCAATTTGTATCTTAATTGCGTCATGTTTGTGTTATATCAATACATATATTTATTTTTCCAGTCTATACACAAAACTTGTTTTAAAATAATGTTGTTAAAATTATTTATAACATAATGCAATTTATATTGTAAATGTTATAAATAATTTTAACAACATTATTTTAAAACAAGTTTTGTGTATAGACTGGAAAAATAAATATATGTATTAACACACTTCAAGTTTTCCAACAGACATTCTAATCTGGGGATGATGAGAACTATAGTCCTCTACTAATCATCTGTTAAGTGAACAAATTTCCTCAACTCCACATTAAATGTTCTGTGGTATCTGCTGCTTCAATGTATTGCTGAAAAAATATACACAACTGTATCCTTAGTTAATCATTCAAAAAAGGGCTTACAAAATTGCAAATTTAAAATATTTTAGAATAACTTAAACAAATCAAAGTTGCACTCATAAAGAAATCAGGAGCAGTTTAAAGGTTTCAGAAATTCAAAATTAAGAAATATTTAAATAAAATTTTGAAATGCTGCATCTCTCAAAATGGCCTGACATGGAATCCATGTAAAACAATAATAACCTATAATCTTCAGGAGCTGACTACACTCAAAACTGTTTAAAGACTTGCTACATTATTACTACTTGGCCAAATTTGAAATGTCAGGTATGATGCAAATTAGTAGCAACAATATGTTGGCCTATACACAAAGGATTGCAATCTTGTCAGTTGAGATACTATGTAGTCTTGCAGATCATTATTACTACAACCGAGAAGACCAATATCAACAACCAATGCAGTCACTGCTGTCAGAACCTCATATTTAAGGTAAATGTGAAGACTGAAGGTTTCTGATGATGGTGCATGTTATCTATAAAATTGTTTCCTTGCACTTTAACCATCATCTAAATTATGAAGAAAATCACAACATTTTAGAAGGTAGATTCTGCTTCTGTCTTTATGTAAAAAAAGGAAGAGGACGGAAATCACACCTGTTGGGTCCCCAGGTTGAGCTAGCCTCATATCTAAGGTTAGCTAGCACCTCTTTCTACCTGGAAATAGAAGCAGAATCCAGCTTCAAAAATTTGTGGTTTTATTTATAATTCAGACGATAAACAAAGTTCAAGAAAACAGTTTTAAAGAAGACAAATGTTCTTTTAATCTCTAACTCTTAGTACCATATCTTGAAGTTCATATACTCTGGTACAAATAACAAAAAACAAAGAGACTGTGAAGGAAGAATGCTGACCTCTAGGATGATATAAGGGTTGCTCAAATGAAATATTGACAGTTCTGGGTGAAGGAGTAGAGGCCATTCAAAGCAGTCCACAAGGGCAGTGAGGTAGGAAATCCTACCAATGCACCCAACTGATGGTCCACAACATCAAGAACTATGTAGGTTGCACCAATGGAGTCTTATGACATGAGTGTAAAACCTTCTAATGTTTTCTTGAGGGGGCTCAACACATACAAGTGACAGGGTTACAGGCATGGGAAGAAGGGGGATAGTGTGGGCCACATGGGAATAAATGTCATGCAACCTGATAATTCCCCTCATGAGCATGGCTAAATGCTTTCTCCTGATGGCAGTATGAAGGTCTCACGGGATTCCACAATAGTGCAGTGTACTGATGGCAATGTCTGGCCTCTTCAAGAGTGCCTAGAGGGCTGTATATTTGCCATGCACAAAGACATCCTAGGAAAAGGTGGTGCATTGCTTCTAGCACACACAGGAGATGCTTTGAAGAAGGAATTCATTAGATAGGGCATCATGTCATGCCTGGCTCAATGCCCAAAGGGACTATTTTTAATGGCCTCCATTCCTGCAGCAAAAAACAGGCCCTGAACAGATTTCATTTATAAATATGCCTCATCAGTTGCTTTACCAACAGTTGGCCATGATTTAAGAGTTGAATGAGAAGACAAAGATAAGGTGCACTGACAGAAGGCAAAAGACAAAAATATTTTACATTCCAAAAAACAAAATTTGCAAATTAATGTTTTAATAAACTTTCATGAAAGATCATTTCATTTTCTGCATTTGCCAGATATGCACAAAGAACAGTACAAAATCTGAAGCTTGGAAATTGAACCGCTGTTATTCCAAGTGTCTTAATTTGGTTTAAACCAATTTTGTACAATATACTTACTACAATAAACCCACTGGGACATTTATCTGGATCTTCAATGACATTTATGGACGTAATTGGTCTATCATCTGGCAGTGTCTTGTATAGTTGTTGCATCATGATGTAATGTCGTATGTATCAATATTTTTTACTGTGATAACGAACAGTATATAATAATCCTTTGAAAAAAATATGGCCAAAAACACTGTTTAACAAGCTAGGGTTTTATTTCTTTCACGTCAAGATGGCTTATTAATTAGTATTGCTTCCTCTCCTTTCATATTCATACTGACTTATCTGTAACTTATAACTTGATCACTCTTTAACAAATTTACAACAAAACAAATCAGGTCCTCTTTGCCGCAGATATATTGTCTATAACTAATACCAACTATATGACTGACATTTGACAATTCTTTTATCATTCACTGCACAAAAGCACAAGCAAAAGCATCGATAATTTAATACGACTAATTTCAAACCAAACACTACTTATGATCTCGGTTTATTCCCGCAACTTTGTATTACAGTAATGAGTCACTTCTATACAGAGAATACATAATTGAACGTGCAGGTAAATTATGTTCCCTTTACTTGATTACAAGACTTTAAAAAAAACGTTACAAAGCAAAATATTTTCATACAAATGTCTGTGTTGATAGTCTCCCATTCACAATAGCAAATCAAGAAGACATATATCACGGCTCATAAATAGCTTTTCAAATATCAGCAACTGTTCTGACGTCCGTGGACGTAATCCAGAAGTTTAATAGAAGCGGATGCCTTCTGTGAAAACAATAGTTTGTCTGTGTTATCACTGCTATTATTCCGTGACAAAATTTTGGATTACCTGCAATGTGAATGATGCTACATTGCCAAATAATGAAGTTAAGTTGTATTTCGTATTTCGTTCTGTGGGATTAGAGACATGTGACATACTGAAATGTATCACATAATTTTGAAGTCCCGATATTGCAGAGAAATGTCGTCACGGTAACATTAGCTGTTTGTGAAGTTTCTTAACCAGTCTCACTTCGAACCTTCAGCGTTGCGCTTTTATCATCAATGGCAAAACAGCACCCCGAACTTTAACATCATTGTCCACTCCATCTTCCCATTTCAGTTTAGGCCTTCCTCTCTTCCTTCTGCTTTCCGGTTTGACATTAAAAATTTATTTTTGCAGGTCATTGCCGATCCACTCGAACAACATGGCTAGCCCATATCAACCTATCCACTTTTATGAAGGTTATAATATCCATGTCCTAATACAACGTGTACAACTCATAATTGTACATAATTCTCCATTGATTGTTGTTTTTGAATGGGCCATATATGGGCCTCAGAACTTTTCTTTCAATGAGCAAGAGCTTTTCCATCAGATGTAGATTGTACCCGTTTCCAATGTGTTAGTTAGGAATGGTCTTATATAATATGATTTTACTTTTCAGTGAAAGTATATGTGATTTCAATTGGTTCTTTAATCCATAAAAACATTTGTTAGCTACCAAAATTCATTTCTTAATTTCCTGACTATTATCATAGTTACAATTGACAAAAGACCCTAGATATGTAAATGTCTTTACTAATCAAAATGTGTAGTTAGCATTACTTTACTTTGCATTCCGACTTGTAATCATATATTTTGTTTTTCTTGATTTATTCTTAGTCCCATTCGTCTTGCTGCACTTCTAGTGTGAGGAAGGATGTAAGATTTGAGGTTTTCACAGCAGTGCATATGAAGATTCCTGTCTTCTGGGTTGTTGCGCTGTGTAGTCTGGTTGATGTTTGCCAACGCTTCAGAGGTCGTCATGACGGAGGCAGTATGACCTCTGAAACGCTGGCTAACATCAACCAGCCTACAGAGCGCAACAACCCAGAAGACAGGAATCGAGGGTTGGGATCTTGCTATGTCTGTATCATCTGCATACGCAGGTAACTGGACAGACTTATAAAATATTTTACCACTAGTTTATATATCAACATCTACTATTTTATCCAGCACAATATTAAAAAGAAGATAGGCCAGCACATCACCTTGTCTAAGACCATTCTTGAATGTTACTAGAGCTGATAAGTCTGACTGTATTCTAACGCAGAATTTATAAGGACTCGACCTTTCGAGACACTACACCCATGTGCTGATCGTAATCTAGCAGATAGACAGACAGACTTAATCTTCTCTTTTCATTACAGTCCAGGTTTTGTTGCCATGGTATTCTGAAATCACTATGCCATTCTTTTGGTTGCTCCACTTCATTACTGCAACAGGGCTGGAATGCTGTGCAGTTACCTCTTTTCACTTTCTTTGGGGAATATTTTACATCCTGCGTTTTCAGGGGTGACCAGACAAATGCGCACAGAAGGAAGCTCAGTCATAAATGCTCACACGAAAAAATGCTTACAACTTCAGGGTTTGTTCCCAAAACGTCGGTTTACTACGGTAACCAGTTGACTCTTCTGATTACTTATAGTATTGTGAATATGGCCATTTATCCATGTGAGCATCTATGACAGTGAGCTTCTTTCTGTGCGGTTTTGTCTTGGAACTGTTTTCAGGCTACTTCCAACTTGAAGTGAGTTACAGCACCCATCCATCCAGTCTGACCTTGCTTCAGAAGAGGCTCAGTCAATTTCATTAACAATGGCTGTGGTTTTGATTTGATTCTTGTATCTTTCCCAGTACAACGAGAAGAGATGAATAACAGTTTGAGAATCACACAACTAAAAATAATTTGATTCCAAACTGTGAACATTTTCATGGAAGGAATTGTCTGAATGACCATTCCAGTGTTAGTGATTTTTCTTTTGAAATTTACTACTGAGGTGGGAAATGACTGGGAACAGGTAGGTGTTCTGGATTTCATTGTCTGAAAAGTGAACAAATTTGCACAGTAGTACGTCTCATGTTATATCTCCCAAGACTCTTACAGTGCTGAAATATTCTAGAGAAGGCTTCTAAAATATATCCATTAGCATGAGAAGTCTAAGCAAAAATATAAATCTCAACTACAGTTGGTTTCCAAGCATGAATTATCAAGCTTAATGTAAATAAATGCTCCTTGGAATTTTAAAAGTTTTCAGGGCGTATATAAATTATCTTTACAAATTTACTCGTGTTTAAAATCTTTATGAAAAGACAGACTGTTTGTACATCATCTGCAAGAGAAACTCAAAGTTCCACCAAGTTCCTGGTAGATGTGAATGCATTCTTTTATTACAAAGTATTTCTTAGAATCAACAGTGACCAACACAAACCTGCGAGATGAACAAAACTCAGTGACTGACATTATAAAATATGTATGCGATGGGAGCACAAAGCCACACAGTATCACCAACATTCCTACATATTCAGTTACTTTTATTGACCACAGATGAATGAGAATGTCAATTCCTGAAGCCTTTGTATGATCCAGTTTGTAAAATCCTTACTTGATACAACCATACGCTGCAGTCCTCTTGACTCAGGGACAAAAATCTTCATGATGAAAACTAGAGGTCAAACACATGACACATCAATAAATTATGAATCATGTGTGAACATAAACCTAATAAGTTTGTTTTTAGCATATACCAAGACTATGTAAATTTAATGCAAAATTGGTCACAAAACAGACACCAAAAATTAATGCTGCTACAAATGTACGCTGTACTCAGTATGATGGATGGGATTCAAGGGCAAAACTAGCAGATATGACCCAAGATCAAGTTCCTCAAATATTTCATTAAGTGATGCTTTGAGTAATCTATGTCAGACCTTCAAATCCCTATGCCATTGTAACCTTGTTTAAGGCTGTACTGACCATATTATTGGTTCCTTGTAGACAAGTGCACAGGTAATGAACATGTCACGTTTAAGTCATCCTGTGAATGGATTGCATCTATACATTCAGAATGAATATTGAGAATAAAGAAACAATCCATTTCAGGGTATCTCTGATTTTAACTTCTCATTTAGAAATAAACTGGAGCAAACTATCCTTACATTTGTGTCAAACTAATTAGTTTTCAGAGCAACAGAATCTACTCACAACTCAGATCTATGAGAAACATTACCTTGGCCTATTAAGTAAACAGTTTCAAATGTAAATGAGAAGGGTGATAATACAAATAAAACATCGAACCCTTACTTCAAGAATGATGGGGCACGAGTAACTTATTCTGCAGATTTATAGACACATCCTATGTGTCAAAATTTGTTCTCAAGAATCAGAGTGCATATTTAACAGAATTTGTATTCTGTATCATACCAAACACAAAACTGGTAACCATGTTAAAATTACACAAGCCAGCTAATCATGCTCTCATTTTCAAGAATACTAAAAACATAGATTATGACTATCCCTTGATGCAATATAAGCTTTTTTTTTTTTTTATATATTTTGGCTAGAATCTGGCACCCTTCAGACAATAAGTAAGGCTGTCCCACTATACACCATGTAGGCACTTGGGGAGGGGAATGGGAATAGTTCCCACTCATTCTCAACCTCGGCACCAGATGGGGGAAAGTGATAAACGTCATGCCCCGGCCCTGCTTTACCCCTGCAAAAGAACCCTGGTACCCATTGGCTAGGAGGTTGGGTGGGGCCCCAGGGCCAGTATGGATGCAGAGGTTAGAGGAAAAATTCACTACCAGTCAGGGATCAAATCCCAGACATCCAGTCTATAGCCAGTCACTATACTGACTGAGCTACCCCAACACTTTTTTTTAAAATAACATTAATTCAAAACACCCAAAAGGGTTGAGATTTACTACTGCAATATCACATTAAAGGACAACACCTAAAATATGAAACTATTTAAAATTAAATATATATGTCATAACATCCAGAGCCTGTAATTTTACACCAAAATATGCAATCCAGAGTGTTTTTCACCTTTAGTCTAATGCAGATTTGTTTAAGAGCAATAATTCAGTGCACATCCTGAAATCAGGTAACCTACACCCAGAAGACAATGAGCCGGGATAGCTAAGTCAGTATATTGACTAGCTACGGGCTGGACGACTGGGGTTCGATCCCCGACGGGGGCAGAGGATTTTTCCTCTAGCCTCTGCGTCCAGACCAGCTCTGGGGACCACCCAGCCTCCTCTACAATGGGTACCAGGAGTCCTTCCCCGGGGGTAAAGCCGGCCGGGGCGTGATGCTGACCACTCACCCCCATCTAGTGCCAAGGTGAAGAAAGAGAGGAGTTATACCTCCGCTCACCCCAAGCACCTGTATGGCACGTAGCGGGACAAACTTTACTTTACACCCAGAAAACACCTTTTATTATGGTGTTCCTGCTTGGATCACATCTTGAAATCTTAGTATCCATTACATTGTATGTAAGTGTTTTTGGAAAGTGATAATATTCAAATCTACATTTCAACTTCAACACGCTGTTCATACTACTTCAACATTGTCGTTCGATTATTACATTTATATTTTAAGACTGTTTATACAAAGGTGTATTGGAAGTAATTTCGCAGTGGAAGATACAAAACCTACATTTGACAGTGTTCAAGATGCAAAAAGTGTAACTGAAAATGATTACTATTGTTCACTAAATTTTAATTTCTTGCAGCATTATAAGTTTCCTCTAAAAGCTTCTAACATCAGAATTAATTAAGGTGTGCTGTAATGAACTTTATGCTACCTTCTTCCATTCAAACAGGCTATTTAATACAAGATATGCTCTTGGAATTATAAGGCTCTTTCTTAAATCTCACACCAAAGCACCTTGTCTTTTGTTTCCTTACATAAACATTCTAATAATTTCATATTGGACTGTTTAATCAGGTATTATGTCAATTAAACTGTGCATCTAACATAAGACATTTATTCCCACGCTTTTCTTAATAAGAAACATACTATGTTGCATCAAAGAAAACGTCAATCAATTTTCTGGAAGTGCAATTTTAGAGAGATAATTCCATGGTACATAACTGAACAGAAAACTCCTATTTAACTATGACAAATATACAACTAATCAGTTATGAACTGTTGACTCTCTAAAGAAGGCACACAAGCATGCTATACAAGAAAAATATGTGACTCGCACATAAAAATATACTATGAGGCAACATATTGTGAAATTAATTTGATTGGCACAACCATGTTTAACAAAATGTCATCATCAGATACATTTTTGTGAAGGAATCACACACAAACTTCTTAACATGATGAGCACTCTGAAGTATCACTGTAACAGATTACATCAAAGTTCACCTTAATGCAAATTGTGTCAAAACCACATAAAGTTCAGGTATAGTATGTCAGAAAATGTACACCTGCATGCAATACAATAAAAATCTTCTTACAAACAAGACAGTATTCCAGATATAGATAATGTGAAAAAGGGTAAGGGGACTGAATCTGTAAACATGTAGATTTTCATCACTGTTGGCTCAACAAGAAACAAACACATTTTTCATTTACTTGTTCATTACTGGGATTGAATCTCACCAGCTGAACTGTCATCTCAAATTTATTGCAGCTATGAACAACTACACAACAGCAGTTTGAGCTTACAAAGTACCAAGAATCAAAGGCTTCACAGTAACAAACACACTAGGTGTGCACCTACTGCTCCTACAGGCTCGTTCAGTCTCATTTTCTGTTATCTAATTCCTTGGCACTTCCTCTTCTTCCAATGCACTTCAACCCACTATATATCACTTTTCACTTAAGTTCTTTTAACAAACACAATACGTTCACCAAGGGAGAAAACATGAACACCTAAACCATAAATGTGGGAAGGATTCCCATTCAATTACTACCACTTCATCAAATATGTGCATTTCCCAACTTTAACTGATAATAATGACAATTTTCAATCTTAATATTCATTTAAACTTCTAGTAAAGCAGTACATTCTTCATCTGTGTAGTACCATCCTTCACTTTTATTTTATCTCCTAAACCACAAGTGTCTGGGTGGTACATCACTATACTTGCACAATACACAACAGTCATTAATTAATCACCTTCATTCCAAACAAACAAACAAACAAACAATAACTACAAACCAATGGTAAACTGTGTTTAAATACTGTGCAAAGATTTGAAGCATTACTGGAAAGAGAAATTCATATTTACCATCTTTTCACATGGTTAAAGAAACAATTCCTTTCAAAAAAAACGTGCACAACTCTCAGCATGGTAGTAAATGTTATTGTGACACAGTAAGGAATCAGATATGGATGAGTAAGTCCACATTACTCCTGCAAAGTAACTGTGCTGCAAACTGAACCACACTGTCCATCATGTATTACACACATGCACAGAACAGGAACATACATACTCAATGCAATACGAAAAAGAAAAATACAAAAATGACAGTAAGATTTGTCTAAAACGTTACTCTTTCAATCTTGACGAAGAAACTTTTCAAAACAATTTTTATGGAAGTTCTCATTTCACAATCAAGTTCACTAAAATATTCATCTTAATCTTTCATTGGAGTGGAACAGACATTTTACTGGAAGATTGAATTAAAGCAACATGCCCCTTCAGTTTGTGATCACAGTTCCGAAGTCTTCAGATATTAATAAAGTAAACATTATAGAATATTTACTGATGGAACTATGAATCAGTTCCTTGTATTGTAATTGCGCAACCAACAACCAACTCCATAAAAATCAGAAGTTTATCTGTTTCATTTATGCCAACACAACTTTGATGATTACATCCTAAAATGGTGATAATCTGTAGTGCATTCATTAGCTCACTTGTTAAAACAAGTAAATCAAAGCTTCTTATCTGTAACTGGTAACTTCCACCAACTTGATTATCAGTAAGTGAAGATATGAGGAACACAAACAACTTCTGCATGTTATATCTGCATGCTGGGAGGAGCAAACAAACTGCTGTGGTATGCAAAGCTTTCTGTCAACATTCACCTTTAAATCTGAAATGTCTACGGTATTCACAAGATACATGTTTTCAGACAAGTTTGTCACATGGATGTTCTTTTGAAAAGTCACAGTCAACTTACAAAATGTGCCAATGGAGACAGATAGTACAAGCACATACTTTAAAATACCAATAAACCTGCAACTTCTAATTTTTTTCAGTCGCTTCTAACTACAAGTAGTATGAGCATCTGAAGTACAAGTTCGAAGAGTACAGAAATTTCAATTAGTGGACATATGTGATGCACAATTATTTTAAACAGATAAGGAAGCTTGCCTGTCCAAATACCGACAACAGTTATTCAGAGGTCGGAGCAGTAGTTTCATCTTTCCCCGCTTCTGTGGCCAATTTCAAGTCAGACTGCTGCGTACTACTGGCTGTTGCTGGTTTGGTGCTTGCAGGGACTCCACTACCATTGCTGCTGCTGGTGCTGTTGCTGCTAGTGGAGTTGGCATTACTACTATCCGGCATCTTATTTTCACTACTTACATGAGGATTTGATTCAGGCTTGCCTTCAGAACCACGTTCCAGCTTCATGTTTGTTCCTGTTAAAATAATATTAAGATGTCAGTGTGGAATCTCAGAATTTCCAATACCCATATGAAACAGTACAATTTTAGTCCCATGAATAGTACAGTAGAAGTTTATTATGAGAGCGCCCAATGTTCAGAAAAATGTCATACTGAATACTAGTCATATGCAAGTAAACATCTGGGAGGGTTAAATTTTCCAGAGCCAAGCAGCAAATAATAAAGTTAATTTCATGATATAATTGATACTGTAACAATTGTACTTAAAATTGTATATATTCAAAAGTCCTGAAACAGTGTTTTTGTCTTACTGACAATAAACACTCAATACATAAGGGAAAGACATTTATGCTAGTTTAATAATTGGGAGAATTTATCCTTTATAAGTGTTAGTGTGAACCTTAAAACAAACATGGTGTCTATAAAATTATGGAACAAACATGTCACTTACAGAGTTTGACAGTAATACATCTCTAAAATACATACTGTTGCACACCACTAGTAATGTATCCCACCCCAATTCTTTCATGGTGTTGTCAAGGTCAGCCAACACCGAGGGATTGGCAACATCAGAACTAGCGCACACATGCATTCCCTCCATTATGTTCTTAGGGCTTGAAGAACACTGTAGAACTGCAGCTCTTTCTCAAATTTATGACACCCCTCTAAAAGGCGGCTGGAGCAGAGAAATGCGAGTTTTCTGACAGCGGAGTTAGATAAGGACAGAGTACAAAGTAAACTGAAGGAGTTCTGAAGTAAGAGAGCTCTATCCAATGCATTATGACACAGAAAAGAACATTTATATTCAAATGATCAGTACTGTGAATTGTGGAGTGTCAGAAAATAACCAATGGTACTCATAATGGTCTTAAATAAATCCACTGTGTAATCACCAATCACAAGACAACATTGAGATACATAGATGCTATAGTCATAATATTCACTGTATTTCTAGAACATTGCATTTCTTTTAAAAGGTACAGGGCTGTTAACTTTATAAAAACAAACCTTGGAGGTCTATTATACCAACTGTTAAATCATGTAACACACAAAACCCATCTGGACAGTACATGTGAAATCAAGAAAAGAATATTAAATACAGTAGATTCTGGTTAATTGGGCCATCGGTTAATCGAGGCAGCTGTTTATTTGGGGCAGATTTTAAACAAACCTTTTTAACTTTTTATATGGAATTTTGCATAATTGGGGCAGCCACTTAATTGGGCCAAAGTGTTCTAGTCCCGAAGTGTCCCAATTAACCAAAATCTACTTAACCTCTATTTTCCCTCTTCTTGCAACATACAGGAATGGAAATTCAATCCAAATTGAATATCAATCAGTTGCAGAGAATAACAAACTTTATTTCAGCACAAGATAAACAAATCAAAAGAGTAAAACCAACTGAAAAGCCAAAAACAAAGAATTTATTGAGGTGATGGGTCACAAATGCCTTTAAAGGGCAGTTCCATAGTGAAAAAACATTTCAGGTCAAGTCAGTCAATCAACAACTCATGTCAAACAAGGGTGGGTCAGAAAGTTTATGCAATGATTTATTTTACAGCTTGCTGTGTTGGCTGCAATGCTTATTTTATGTGCATGTAGAAGCACTCTATATGTTACTGTGAAATACTTTTGACCTTGACTGGTCAGTTGTAATAGAATTGACATGGCTTCTCCACTTTCTGTATGCACCAAAGAACACATCTGCCAAGGCATACTGAACCTCTATTGCAGTGTTGTGGAACCTTTCTACACTCGTGGCAAATAAATATTGTCAGAGTCATGGTGGCACACCAACCTCATTTTGCATACCGTGGGGTGGTGGTAGATTGTTTATAGCACTGATTGGAAGCGAAAACTTCTTATAAATTGACCCCAACAGAAAAATGTTCTATTTGATGTTTATAATTATCCATCTTTATTATTATGTCATTTATTTTAAATATACTCATTATTTGAAATAAATTAAAATATAATATTAACCAACAGTTTGATCCAAAATTTATTAACTATGTGTAAACATTTAAAATTAAAGATACTTATTTATATTCGTACATGCAAAATGCATAAAAAATACAGAGTGGCAATGAAAGTAAAGGGGAGGTACACACTTTTTGCTGCAAAGTGGTTGTGCTGTTTTCCAATTCCATTTAGTATATCTTGTCTGTCCTTAGTATGCCTGACCATAATAAAGAAAATGAAAACTGAGACAGAGCAGAGAACAAGATTAACAATTATTTATCTCATTATGGTTATAATTATAACATGAGGTGAAAATTTTGTGGCACACCCGTTGCGTATCACTGCTCTATTGTAATGAAGGTGCACTGTCACTGGGGATGAGACGTGGATCTACCATTATATCCCAGAGAGCAAGAGTATGGAATGGAAAAACTGACATGACCAGTCACAAAGTTCAAAACCTAACCATATATGGGAAAAAGTGATGTTGAAATTTTTTGGGATGCACAGGGGCCAATTTTGGAGCACTAACAGGGGGACAACAGTAAACAGTGTAACCTACAATGAAATACTTCGGACCAGTTGAAACTGGCTATTCGAACCAAAGGTATAGTGATTTTGCATGATAATGCCCTTCTGCACAGTGCTGCCCACAGCACTGAAAGCCTCCATCAACTGAACTTTGAGGCATTGAAGCATCACTATACAGTCCTGAAATAACTCCCTCGTATCACCCGTTTGGCCCACTGAAAGATGTTTTGAGGGGCTAATATTTTGCCAGTGACCACAAACTGAAACCCATGCCTAACAAAGGAAAAATTGAATTTTTTGGAAATATATGAAACAAATGTCAAACACAATGAAGAAGCACTGTGGATAAGAAACCATATTTACCAAAACCAGAGAATGGAATGGGAACCAATAACAGAGCAGGAGGTAACAGCAGTTCTAAAAGAAACTCTGAACTGAAAGGACACAGGAGCAGACCAGAAATCAAATTTCTGGCTGAAGAACCTCATTGGGACACATCAACATTCAGCGAAAGTTTTCAACAAACTGATTAAGCAAGATTAGATTCCAGACTGGTTGACCCATGGAGTAATATACCTTATTACAAAAAATGAAAACACTGAATTACCAAAAAATTATAGACCTGTGACATGCCTCCCTACAGTATATAAATTACTTACAGCAGCCATTGCCAACAGAATGCAGCAACATATTGAAGATCAAAATTTACTGCCGAGGATCAAGAGGATGCCGAGATCATATATACTGGTATCAAAAACAATATTACAAGAATATTGAAGCAGGAAGAACAACTTGTGCATGGCCTGGATTGACTATAAAAAGGCATTTGACAGTGTTCCTCACAGTTGGATACTTAAATCTTTAGAGTTCATCATCATCATATTCATCAAGTATTAGGCCAAGTGGCCTGTTTCGGTTTCATTCCATCTTTTTAACGGTTTTCCCAGGCTTCTCTTTCCATTCGGTCTGTAGTTCAAAAGTTGGTTTGGGATTTTATTAGAGTCCATTCTTTCAATGTGATTATTCCAATTGGCACGATAATTCTGAATAAATTTAGAGACTGGTTCGACTTTCAATTTTTATAGAATTTCTTCATTTCTTTTGTGGTCCAAAAGTGTAAAGCCAGCAGTTTTCCTCATAAATTTCATCTCCGCTGCTTGCAATCTTTTCTCATCCGCCTTTCTAATTGTCCAGACTTCACTTCCATACAATAGTACCGGTCTTGTTAGTCCTGTAAATGTTTAATCTTGTATGTTGTAACAAGGAGGGTTTGAAGACGTGGTTTATGACTCCGGTTGTTTGTATAAATTTTGAGGGCATATCTTTCTCACCTTCATAAGATAGGGTGCAGCCTAAATAATTAATGTGTTGACTTGTTCTAGAGTTTTATTATTTATACAGATTTTGCTCCTGACAGGGTCTTTGCCTGAAAATGCCATAATTTTAGTTTTTTCAACAGATATTGACATATCAAAATCTGAGGCAGTCTTTTGTAGATTGTATATTGCCTGCTGTAGTTCATCTTCTGATCTGGCAATAAGTACTTGGTCATCTGCGAATAGTAGGGTATCTAAGATCACATTTCTGTTTATTAGTATTCCTCCATGTTTTCCCCCTCTCCAGCATTTGATAATTGTATCCATATAGATCATAAATAAAAGAAGGGAGAGGCCACAGCCTTGTCTTACTCCTTTGTTAACTGATTTCCATTCAGATGGATTAGAGTCTGTTTTTACTGAGATTTTGTTACTATATATGTTGTATATAGCATGAATTATTTGATCAGGTATGTTATCAGTGGCTAGAGTGTCCAGAAGAATGTTCCTATTAACAATGTCGAAAGCTTTTTCAAAATCAATAAAAGATAAATAGGTTTTAATATTAAATTCCCTGTTTTTTTCTATTAGTATTTTTAAAGGGAAATATCTATCACAACAAGAGCGTCCTCTTCGAAATCTGTTCTTCTCCCAACCTTTCTTTGTAGTATTCGTAAAGTTTGTTCTTTATGATGTTGGCATATATCTTATAACCTGAGTTTAGTAAACTGATGCCTCTGTAATTTTCACATTTTTTTATATCTCCTTTCTTATGAAACGGCACTACTACAGCGTTTTGGTGGGATTCCACCCTGCCAAATTAAGTTTAGAAAATAGAAGAATCTAAAGGATGCGGCAGAGGAAACGCATGTTTTTCAAATGGCTAGTACTCGGCAAGGAGGAGGGTGGGGGATTTCTGCCCCTTGCTAGTAGACAGCTTAGATGATGCAGTTTCAGTAGCCATGGCACCGTGGACCTGCGAGCATCGGGTGTTTGTCGTTGAAAATTATATCAAAAGTGGTGAATCCGTGGCCGCCTCGCTCCCCTGACCTGTCCATATGTGACTATTTTTTGTGGGGTTACCTCAAATCAAAGGTCTACAGAAACAAACCATGCAACATCCAGGAACTGAAAGATTCCATTCGCCAGGAAATCGCTACTGTGGGGGGAAGAAATGTTGGGAAGAGCAATGCAGAATTTCGAGGAGGCTGCAAGAGTGCGTACAGAAGGAAGGGCGTCACTTGACGGACGTTACTTTTTGGAAGTAATTCAAAAAGTTCAACAAAACTGCATTTTAAAACCTTTCTTTTTGTGTAATTAACATTTTTAATTTGAAAATCAACTGAGTTATTGTTATTTGAGAAACATGCGTTTCCTCTGCCGCATCCTGTATATCGAAAGTCCTCTCCAGCATATTTCAAAAGCTCCATCTGTACGCCATCCTACCAGGTGATTTATTTTTTGAATGTTCAAGGACACTGATTAGTTCTCCAAATGATATGAAAGCTACAAATTCATTGTTTGAGGATGCCTTAGTCAGTTTGTCAAATTTTGATGACCATAAATTTTTGAAGTAACCAAGCCAGGTGTCTGTTTTAATGCTATGTATTTTCACATTCTCTCTTATGTCAGTTCTCAACTTTTTAAGTATTTTAAAAGTCTGGGGGTTTGGTTTTGTAACATCTCTTTCTAGTTGTGCGGCAAAATTGTCCCACATTTCTCTGTGCCTTTTTCTGACTTCTGTTTTTGAAATTCCCCGATTTCGTTTATATTCAATTTCATCTTCTAGACGGCGTGTTTACAGATATTTTTTGAATGCCAGTCATTTTTCACTTACAACTTTTACTATATGTTCATCCCATTTTTGAATACCTTTCCTTCTATGCCATTTGCTTCTTAAACCGATGCTTTCTGTAGCTGCTTGTTTTAGTATGAAAGTAAGGTTATCCCATTCTTCCTCAATATCACTACTGATTTTTACTTGTTGAAGCAATGTCAATACTCTGTTCTTGAAAAGCCATCTTATGCTTGTAACTCTCAAAAGATTTATCTTGAATGTTTTATCTAAATTTCTGGTTTATTGTTTTCGCTTGTACTATCTAGGAGGAATTCTAAGAGGTGATGCTAGTAAATAGTGATCTGTTTTTATCTCCGGGCCTTGGTAAACTCTGACATCTAAAATAAAATCTGAGGTCTTCTGGTTTCATATTATGTGGTCAATGATTGTACGTGAACCTCTGGCTGACCAAGTGTATTTATGCGCATCTTTGTGTTGGAAATATGTGTTCATTATTTTCAAATCATTATAAAGAGTGAAGTCTCTCAGTTTCACACCATTATTATTGCAAATTGTTTTGCTGAATGTGCCAATATTCCTTCTGGATTTGTTGGTACCAATTCTAGCATTGAAGTCTCCCATTAGTACTACCATGTCAGATTTGTTTATTTTATCGATTATTTGTTATAATAGCTTGTAGAATTGATCAGCACTCCTACCACTGGACTTGCTGCTCTTTGGCCAGCTACCAAATGGGAAGGACAATTATATTGATTTCAAGTTTCAAAGAAATACAACCCGGACAGCTATTAACGATGACCACCTAGGCTTAAACACGGTTACAAATCTTTAGAGTTAATTGGAGTTAATGAAAAGATAATATCTTTCACTATGAAAGCTATGAATAGTTGGAAAATTAGTATGGAACTAAATACGAGAGATAAAGTAACTGAAACAACAGATATCAGAGTAAATTGTGGAATATTCCAAGGTGATTCACTCTCACCATTGTTATTTTGTATCAATTTAATCCCTCTTTCACAAAGCTAAACCGAATGAATATAGGATATGAAGAACATAAAACTAAAACAAAAGTCTCACACCTGATCTACAAGGGTGACTTAAAATTGATATGGAAATCAGAGAAAGAACTTCAGGAACAACTCCATACAGTCAAGATATTCAGTAATGATATCAGAATGAAATTTGGACTGGATAAATGTGTAAAGGTTGTGTATAAAAAAGGAAAATTTGCTGAATCAGAAAATCTGTTAATTGATAGGGACATAGAAATACATCATCAAGAAATGAAAGATAAACTGAAGAAGGAATATGATGGAAGATTAAGGATGATACTGAAATCAGAATTGAATACCAGAAACAAAATCACTGCCATAAATGCATTAGCAGTTCCAATATTTTGGTACAGTTTTGAAATAATTAACTGGTGACTGGAAGAACTTCAGAAAATTGACAGAAAAATGAGGAAAACACTGACAATGTTGAGCTATACAGTAATTTTATTCTATTTTATGTACCATAACGCAAATGTAATCTGCATGTGCTCAATTTCCAGATTACTATAATTTAAAACTGTTCTATAACCTGTGAAACCAACACAATGGACCTACAAGCATTCGTTATTATAATGTAGACATTTATACAACAGGCTGTTCACATTCCTGGAGCACTTACAATAGGTTCAGTAACTATATACTTGAGGATGAAGATTTGAGGTTGAAACATGTAGTAAAATGACTGTTTGACAGCAATGCCTCTATAACAAATGTTGAGGACAGTCTTACTAATAATCATTCTTCATCACACAACAGGATACAACCATTCAAGTTACCTAGAATCTCTGCTGGTTATGTATAAAATGTGTTATCTACTACAGTAAAGGAAAAACACCATACATAAGCTAATCTCAACAGTTTAGTGATAGAACCGAAGAGAGAAGTTACAGCAATTTAAAAATGTTTTACTCTATCTCATACGAGTCTTATGCAATGAATTAACATTTTTCAGAAAGAGGCAGAAGATATGAACATTTACCAGATACACAAAATGTGAATATTAAACATTTCATGAGATTAAAATGCACAACAAACAAAACACAATAATCTACTGATATTTACTGCTACAAGATTTCAGATATTTTACGATTCCTTACTCTAGACAAAATGCAGACTTTTGAACCACTTTAGTAATGTACAAACCATGAGCTCCATAATATGGCTGCCCTCCAGGCTGGCTGGTCTGCATTTTATTGATGTTTGGTGGTGGCCGTGATGGAGGCACATGTGATGAGTTGTGCTGAGGCCTGTGTCGACCAGAACTGCCCATCATGTTATTCCCCGGTGACCCCGCACCTTGCTGATAGGATACTGGTCGTTGGATTGGGGCTGGGTAACGAGGAGCTGATGGCATGCCTCCACGTACTCCAAGGTTCATCTGGCCCCTTACACTTTGCTGAAAAGCCTGAAAATTAAAACAGTCAATTTCTAAGGCCTGACATAAAAACACAATAAGATTAAGAAAATTACATGCAAATTCCAAATGGCCTAATTACATATACACACGATGGCAGTGTAATGGAAACATGGATGATACTTTTGGATTGGTGGATACTTTGCTTAGTTTGTGGTGATACACCCTTATTTACATGTTTCTAAGATTTAATGTCAAATTATGTAAAGTGCAGGATATGCAAAAATCATTAGCTTAGTACCAACTTCCACTTTAAAACAAATGGAGTGTTCAGCACATACCGAGGGTAAATTACAAAGCAATGCATGAACATAAAAACAACTGTACTATGACCACTGACCTTATGGTCAAATATTATAATAGCCCAATAAAATTTAAGGTAACCATTTATTGCCTTGTATAAACAATTACAAAAACCTAAGTTGTTTCAAGGAAATTTAAGTAAAATTTAAATTCCTAAGTGAACTATTTATATCTCAGGATTCTGGTTGCTATACTCAGTACTAGATTGTTATGTGACAGACACAGGCTGTCCTGAACCAAAGTAACCAACTTGATACAAAGCAGGTGATATAAGTGTGCATGCATTTATGTACAATTAAAAATTAAAATGGGCCTGCTGTGTGAGTGATGAACAATTACATCAAGGTGTGATTTGAAACAACTTCAAATTCCATGTTCTTATACGGAAAATGCAGTATTTGTTTAAAATGTGCTCAAAATCTAGCACACATGTTCAAGGTCAAACACCAAATCTGACTGGAAATTAGCAATCAAGTACAGAAATCTGTAAATCATTCATTTAACTTTTCAGAAACTCCTCATTTTGTTGATTCAACAATGTAACACATTCACAAATAGCAGAAAATTATCTGCAGATATATTAAAAATATGTATAAACTAGAAGTCCAATATAACCATTTCTGGTTAACACTTATATACACCCATGGCTGGTCTGCAAACACCAATTGCACAGCTACTACTATACAATTCAATTGAACTGATATGGAATAAAGGACATGATAAGTCACCCAACTGTCGAATGTTGACAGACTCCTGAATGAAGCAACTGATTGTCGTTAACGAGGACTAAATTCTACATGTTCAACATGCAGCGCAATTGAAGGGGCAAGACCCACAAAGAAATAGCTTGAGACAAAGTTTAGGAAATGAAAGTGATGACTCAGAATAAAGTGGCACTGAGGGCGAAGACAACAGTGACAACCCATTAACTATTACAGTACTATAACTGTTGTTTTACGCTTATCTATGAAGACACTGGAAAATACTATCACAACTTTGAGAACAAGAAAAAGGTAATACTTCACATCTCTATTAAACTGTTTGCTTAATGTTGCATGTTCTCAGCATCAATACTCTGCATACGCATGTGCAAACAAGCAAGACTCACTTCTCCTCTGTCTGACACCACTGCCATTCAAAATCATATGCTTATCTCCATATGCCTTCAAATATTATGTACCAAGTTCTAGCAAACCTGTGGAGTGGACTTGAAGCCAGCAGTTCTAGCACCACAGCAGGGAACTGGTGGTTCTAGCAAACCTGTAGATAAAGTGACTTATAACAGGTAGCCGTCAAGGTAGGCAGAAGCCACACAAGGAATTCTCTAACACAGAGCCTCAATTTGAAAGTCAATTCCTCTCAGCAGGGAGGGAGCCAGGAGTTCTGGCATACCACTTAGGGGAGCTGACAGCATCAGCCAAGTCAGGGAAGCTGAGAAGGCAACCAGGGGTAGGGGGGATTCATCAGTTGTAAGAAACCTACCTTTACTATTTATAAAGGTTGCCTTCATGGTGAGCCAGCAGCTCAGGCATACCACCACAGGGAGCTAGTGGTTCTAGCAAATCAGTGGACTGGGAGCCAGCAGTTCTGGCATACCACCATAGGGAATGGGCGGTTCTAGCGAACCTGTGGACAAAGGTAATCTATAATATGAAGCCTTCAAGGTAGGCAGGCTTCATCTGGTAAAGACCAAGTGCCTGCACATGCCAGGAGGAACCTTAAAAACCAGGGAGAGAAAGTAGCACCAGAGGCTCATGGTAGCTAGGGTACTGATCAGTCTGCCTAAAATACCCAGGGACTCTATGAAACTGGGGACCTATAGGGTGGCCTTAATTATGACCACAAATAAAATGAGTTTCTGAAAGAAGATTGCTCTCAGCAGGGAGCCAGCACTTCTGGCAACAACCTATGGGAACTGACAGTATCAGCCAATCCAGGAAAGCCAAGAAGACAACTACAAGACCCTGCTATGTAGGATACCGTACTTCACAGAGGTGCAGGGCTGCTAGTAACTGAAGAGAACAGGGATGTACAAAATATCAAGAAATGGTGATTATACAGAAGTCAGTTAGGTGTCCACTCTATTCGCATTCATTCAACCACACTTTGTTGTTCCTTCATCAGTGTGCATATTAAATTTTCAAAAGTTTTTTATTTAGTTCTTTTGCTAAAAATGTCATATGCACAACTCACACTCAAACCACATTTGGGAAAGTACAAATGAAATTGTCATACTACTTCCTGTCTAGAAATTAAAAACTTAGCGGTGTCAGCATCTCATATTGATGACCAATTCTTAAATATGGCCTATCATTCCAAAGTACTGTGTGTTGCGGGTATGTGAATAAAACATGAAATGTTTATACAGGCATACCTCGGAGATATTGCAGGTTCAGTTCCAGACCACTGCAATAAAGTGAGTCACACAAATTTTTTAGTTTCCCAATGCATATAAAAGTTATCTTTACACTATACTGTAGTCTATTAAGTGTGCAATAGCATTACATAACAGATATAATAATACAGAAAAAAGTTTGAAATATTATGAATTACCAAAATGTGACACAGAGTCACGAAGTGAGCACATGCTGTTGGAAAAATGGCGCCAATAGACTTGCTCGATGCAGGGTTGCCACAAACCTTCAATTTGTAAAAAACGCAATATCTGCAAAGCGCAATAAAATGAGGTATGCCTGTATAAGGTCTACATACTGTATCTGAAACATCCAGTGTATAGTCAAGTAAACCTGATGCAAACTTCGCAATGTTGTGTCCACTGTTCTTACCCAACACTTTTACATCCATAGCTCAGGCTGACCTCAAACAATTAAGACCTGGGTTCAATCCCAGAAGCTTTCAAATGAAATTCACTGTGAATGAAGTTGCTCTGGAGCACGTTTCCTCAATTTCCTTGCACTACCCCTGCTAATCACCATTAAAGCAATGCTCGGTACTAATCTAACATCACTCAATGTTGTGTGCAATAACCCCGACCAAGCAATATCATACACTAGGTCCTAAGTATGGGACTTTACTTCTTGGCTAGTCTTTCAGTAAAGGATGTCATTTTGGAATATCCACAAGCCTTGGATGTCTTATAGAAACAGTTGCACTAACTATACTGTGTGAAAGATGAATGTATATCTTTCATGTGATTTTATGTCTATATAGAAAATGATCATAAAGATACAAGAATTTTCTGCAATACTCATGTATTCTAGAATTTAAGGGACTGAATTAATCCTGGCAGCTACACAAACATGTGCAGTATTTGAAGATTTCTGACAGAAATCTTCATATGCACCGATGTGAAAACCTCGAATCACACACGTGCAGTACTTAATTTGTGCTCCAAGAATAAACCACATAGATTTCCTTTTGCCACTTAGGTACACAGCGACATTTTGGAATGCAGTAATTTAATGGCATGTCCATCTCACTTTTGCACTTGGCAAAGTTAATCTATTCAAGCATTAAAATCTGTGGGCAATGCAGGGCCTCCTTAGTATGCAAATATCATGGCTCAAAATATTTATACATCCAAGAACTTGTCACTCCTGTTCACTTTACTGTAGGAACTTAAAACATGGAACACTAGTAACATACCAACTGAGAAGACTGTGTGACTCCTTGATATGGACTGAACTTATGATGTTGCTGCTGCTGTGTTGGGCTTTGTTGTTGTTGTTGTTGTTGCTGCTGCTGTTGTTGTTGTTGTTGCTGCTGCTGTTGCTGTTTTGAATTACGAGATTTTGGTGATGGGATTTGGGGAGCTGTATGCACAAAACAGGTCACCACAGTTGTAACTATAACACTAACATAATTCAGAGCAAAGTGTTGATGTACGGATGGGAGAGAAGTGATAGAGGAAGGAGAATAACATTTGTTATAATGAAGACAAAAAGAAATGGAATTAGGTTCCAAGTCAAAACAGAATCTAAAATGTTTTCTTTCATTACAGGATGTGTTAAATAAGCTTACAAAGAGTCAATTTCTTTAAAACATTCCTGAAACATAGATTTCTTCATTAAAACTGTGTGTAAACTTTATATACAATGATGATGCAGCTACCAAATGTAGAGGTTTGGTTAAGAATACATTTCAGTGCCAAATATTTTCAAAAAGCTGGTTATACTTGATAGAAAGTGCAAGTACATTTGGCTTTGTATTTATAACTGACATCAGTGTTACCTCGTAAATTATGCATAGAAGACCACAGTTGATATTTTGTGGAGACATGGATGCAAACCAAAATGAAAAGGAAAAATAAGGTGGAAAACAGAAGACCTGCACTGAACAGAATAACATATCCAGTCTATGAAAGTTAATAACTAAAAGGAATATTGGGCAGGGGGAAAGAGAGCAGAATGTATAAGAATTAATATAACCCAGATGTCACAATAATCTACTTCTTTTACAGCCGATGTCCACCACACTTGATGAAGCAGAAAGAAATTAAAATGTTCTAATGGTCGTCTCTGGTAGCAAAAAACACAAATGAGGCTGTGGTAACACCCGTGGCGGGGTGTGGTGGAGTCTGCGTTTGGCAGAAATCTTAAGCCTGGCGGTTGGTTTTGGCTTCAGCAGCTATGTAAATGTTTTCACATTTAATTTACTTAATAAAAAGGAAATTAGCATTATGAATATGTGAACTATTAAACAATTTTATGAGAATAAAAATTATTGATTCCCAGATTGTAACTCTCACAAAAATATTGAACTGATGAATGATAACTTAAATTAATAACATCCACCAGATATTTCAAGAAAAGTTTGGAATTTTACATCAGAAAACAAACTGTGATGTATCAGCAAAGTTGAGTCACACATGAAAGGCAAAAAATGTGTATAAACAAAGTTTACCTGAACAGAATACTGACGCTAAAACATCCTGCTGATTGGCGGAGGGCGACTTCAACTGTGCCCTACCATTAGAAACAGCATTGTGATCAGATGGAAGTTGGCCACCTGATTTCAGGAATGTTGGACCAGGAAGTCCAGTGCTACGGTACTGCTGTGCCATCTGCAGAAGAGAAAACTAGAAATTTTATATATACAGGGCAAGTCAAAAGTAGCTGCACACTTCTGGAGAACTGTAACCGTGTTAATTGCAGCCAAAATGTGCTGATAACAGCAGATATCTGTAGAGCGTAACCTCGAGTTTAGTTTGTCTTTAGAAGTTCTTTACATTGCCGCTGAGAGAGCTTGTGAATTGTGGAAAACAAAATGGAGACTTATAGTGGCGTGGAGAGAGCACAATGCGTGTTCTGGTTCGAACAAATGAAGAGTGCAACTCAAATTCAATGGAATTTTGTAAAAAAACAGCAGAAATCCTCCGACCAGGCATAAAAACTTGATCAATCTCTTGGCCACCCTGTTCACCGGATCTCACATCAGCAGATTTTTTCCTGTGGGGATACATTAAGAATCACGTTCACCGCCCACCCTTACCCAACGATCTCAGAGAATTATGGGAAAGGATTACTGCCGAGATTGTGACGGTTACACCAAACATGTTAGAATGTGTGTGGCAAGAAACTGACTATTGCTGGGATGTATGCCGCATCACGGGTGGTAGTCATATTGAACTCTAAACTTGAGGTTTATTCTTATTTTCTAACATTAAAAAGTGTGTTCTATGTGACAACAATACAATGTTACAAGTCTCTGAATGTGTGCAGCAACTTCTGACTTACTCTGTATATATAAAAACAATCCTACCCCACTCTGAAATGTTACTTACGATAAACTGAATCAATATGTTTTTATCACAGACCAAACATCCATTAATCTGAAAATACTGTTGAACTTATGATCTTAAGAATTACAAACACAACAGCTATGAAAGGCATGAAATCAGTATTCCTAATGATCTGTTATATGTCTGCTGTGCAAAGAGAAGTTCAAAAATAAATTCGTGGCCAGTGACAGCAAATTTTAAATACTCCAGAGTTCCTAATAATATCAAATGGTATACACTGTCAAAAGTAATTACATATGTATTACCTTAAATATGCAACCTTATGGAAAAGCAGCCTTGTATGTTCAAGTGGCTCTCCTGTACAGCATTTATTATTTTGGTTATATTTAACAATTAAATATTAACTTTCATGAATCAGTAACATGTCATACAGCGGTACGGTATTGAATTATGAGTGACTGCTATTAGCTTTTAACAATATTGGATACAATTTACTTAGGCCTGTATAACTCATACTTCTATTAATTACCAACAAATCCAGTAGCAGAGCACTGGCTTGAATTCAGAGGTATCTGGCTCAATCATGACAAGCCCCTAAGTACCTCCTGGCAAATGATGAGATAATACCTATAAGGCTATGACCACTTCCTTCCATGTCCTACCATTCCATTATCATTCATAATCTTTATGAGAAACTGATATTAGACTGTTACATGAAATAAGAGAATGTACAATGTATGATGACAATTATAAGTAATTTAAAATATACGAATATTTTTTAGATCTCAAGTGAATTTTATGCAAGCAAATAATGTCTCACTCTACCTATAAACCTCTATAAACTCTAGCATCTAAAACAAAATCATTTGTCATGATTTCAAATTGGAAATCAATGATGGAACATAAGCCTAACTGACATATACTTGTGCTTACCACTTATATATAACTGTCACATTTCTACACACTAACATTAATACTGCCAAGTAGAGTTACTGTATGTAAAATCACACTTTAATGTCTGTCCTCTTTTCATTCTACAAGAACACATTTATGTAATCTCTTGTAATTTTGAGCCTTGCTTCAATTATGCATTTAGCCCAAGATGTGTTGTTAATAGAAGATCAGAATTCAGAAGAGGAAATAAAGAAAGAAAAGAAAAAACACCTCAACCATTTGTTTTCTCATCACACAATAGAATATAATTTTTCCTCACTGTCAACAACTATTAGACATGATAATATATTATCTTCTGTACAAAGGATGTTTAGCATGATGAAAATGTAACTGAGGTGACAGGAGAGTATAGGGCAGATTGGCACAAGAGAAAGGAATTCTTCCCAAAAGTAGTACAAGAAGTTGAATCTCGGCTCAAGTTATTTTTCAGTAATTTAGAAAGGCAAAAACAAGAGATAAAGAATAATAGAGTAATTTCATTAACATTTCTCAATCATACTGTAAGTTGATGCAAAATAAGAAGACAATTTTGGAAGGAACACAGGCCAATGTTTACCCTTTTAAATCCTGCACAAAATCTGTATTTCTTACAGAAGTGTTACATATCACATACACACTAGAGGACAAAAGCATGGAAAGTTGTTTTTAGTGCAGAACATGTTCAATATGACTCCCATTCTGCCTCAGCACCTCTTGTAGACCTTATGGCACAAGTCTCCTGAAATTGTGCAGCATGGCTGGATGATCATGGCTCAGAGTTCCAATAATGAACCAGGTTTCCTTGAGTATAGTTTGTCCTTCATGAAGCCCCAAAGAAGTAAATTACATGTCTTGGCTGTGGGGTGGCCAGACCTCTCCACAATCATGGTGTTTCTCATATCGTATAATTTTGAAATTCAAAACATATGGGTAAACATTTTGTATGCCACTCTGTATGTGTATATATCTCTGTCTGTCTGTCTGTCTGTGTGTGTGTGTGTGTGTGTGTGTGTGTGTATATATATGAGCAAAAGAGAGAGGCAGCAGGAGTATGTATTCAGTTTCAATTAAGTGTTATATGTCTTCAATATAATGTAATATTAATACTGTGATGTGTACTTAAATCAGAAAACTAATACTTCAAAAAAAAAAAATCCATTAGTAATTTGTAATAAAAATCATGTACTAAGAACATGATTTCACTGCAGCAGTAATATTCAGTACACCCCTTAACTTTTCAATAATCATATACTCTGCCTGCCACTTGGATACAGTAGTAAACCAGAAAGATTGACTTTCCCAGTGACGTATGAATACAAAAATTGTGCTGAAAATGATAACTAGTAATTTTAATGATGACATAACAGTATATGTCACTATCTGATGAGAGAACCTTTCATCTTATTTTAGACAGAATTCAACTAAGTTTCACTATAATGAACAACCAATTACCTGGGCTACAGAATGGCAGAAGATGCAATAACAATAATAATCCAAAATATTTTGTTTGGCACATTCACAGAATGTCACAAATCAACTTTTTTTTGACGTAAATATGTCTATAAAGAAGGGTCATTCGGCAAAAAAGTGTTA